GTGAGGAACAGAGGTGTGGGAAGGGTGGAGTAGTGGTAAAGTGGATGGAGAGAATCAGGTTAAAAGTTATACAGAAATCCAAGCAACATATGGTGGCAGCTTGATCATGATGTGCTGGTGGAGATGAAGAGAAAAGGTCAGAACTGAGCTGTAGGAGGAGGTCAAATGGACAAGGTCTACTGATAGATTTAATGTGGGAAATGGAGAAATGTCCTAAGGTTTTCAGCTTGGACAACTGGACAGATGACAGTACCACTTATAGAAAGAAAAGGAACCTGGAAGAGGGCCAGGTTTGGAAAGGAAAGATCATGAGTTCGATATATTACATATGGCCATGAATTATGGAGTTTTGCTACTTTACTTTAGTCCCTGAGGGTGAGAAGAAAGGCAGAGAGAAGGAAGTTCTACCTTTATATCAGCTCTGAGCTCAACCAATTGCTCCTCTGACATTCGCACAGCCACATCGGTCATCTTCTTTAGAAGCTCTGCTTTCTTTTGTCGGCTGAGTAAAATGTCCACTGTAGAGGAAAAAATATGCATCTTATGTTGCTACTAAATAGGATAAAGAAAAACTAGAAGTCTAACCCTTATAGTATCTGTTTGGATACCCAAGGATTTAGTTGACCATCCATCCAGAAAATGAAAATACCAAAAGCCCAGTTTCCACCTTCTGGAGGGTCTCTGAAGGCAGTTTTTATGAATCACAAAGACTCATAAATCATTTGCCATTTTTATTTATTCTCAGTCAAAAACATTTTATCAGGAAGCGTAGAAATTAAGAGAGGAATATGTGCACATGGTAAAAATTCATCTGGAATAAATGGGTATAAAATGAAATGAAGTGTCCCTCCTACTTCTGATTTTGTGGCCACTCCTCAGAGGGAACCACTGTTACTAATTTCTTACACAAACTTCACTTTCAATATTGATCAGTTTTTTGTTGCTGGGACAAAATACCTGACATACACAGGAGGAAGGGTTTATTTTGGCTCAGTTTCAGAGGTTTCAATCCACAGTCAGCTGGCCCAAGATAGAACATCATGGTGGAAGGGTGTGGTAAACAAAAGCTGTGGACCTCATGATAGGCAGGAAGCAGAGCACAGAGGAACCAGAGAGGAAGGGACCAGTGTCCCCAAGGTTACAACCTCACCGCCTCCACAGCCACCTCTACAGAAGTGTGCTTAGATGTCTCTCAAGCCAATCAAGTTGACAATCAAGGTTAACTATCACATTATCTATGTATATCCCACATACTGTTCATCTCTCTCTTTTCTCTCCCTCCTCATGAGTCGATCAAATACAGGATTCTTACTTTACTTTAGTTTTTTTCTTGAGACAGGGTCTCACTTTGCAGTGCAGGCTGGCCCTGAACTCCCAGAAACTCTCCTGCATCAGCTTCCCAAGTGTTGGGATTACAGGCATGCAGCACCATCCCTGGCCTTCTTTTACTTCAGTTATTTTTACTTCTATCTTGACGTTCACTCCTTATTCATACATCTGGATCACCTTTATTCAGTAAACTACTCTGTGGACACAGTACAGGTGTTTATCACATTCCCTAATGATGGATATTAGATTATTACATTCTGTGTATGTGTATGTATATGTTTCATTTTACTCCCCAGGTTGGTCTCCAAGTCCTGAACTCAAGTGATTCTCCCACCTCAGCCTCTCCAGTGTTGGAACTACACGAATGCACCGCCATTCCTGCCTTATTACACCCTTTAAAAAGAACCTTCTCTGGCATGCTACCTGATGTAGTACTCAGCTATGCCCATGGTAGACATCAGAAAAGAAAAAGATCTCCTGTAGGCAATCAGCAAAAGAAATACTCCTAGGAAGCAGAACCAGGGGCTATAAGATGAATCACCCAATGAATCTTTATCACCAAATCAGACTCTGCTATTCCTGTTCAGCAGGATTTGATCACCGCTTTTCCAAGTGAAATTTTTACTTAGAATTATTCTCTTCTTTCTTCACCTGGAGGTAGGGGCATTTAACCACAACATTTACTCACAACATGAAACCTGATGAAAGATCTGAAGTTACTCAGAAGACTTGGCCTTTGAGCCCAATAAACTAACTAGATGAGACTTTGCAGATGCTGCCATTTAGAAGAAGGTAGGTATGTTCTCATTTTAGAAAGAAGAGAGATACTGAGTAACTGAAGGGGAGGACTGTAGCAAAAACTTGTTAGTTGACATTCTCCTTTTCTTCCCATCAGAAGTCCAATGTTGCCAGGTACTAATGTGCTTAGTAAAAACCCGCATTTTCTATAGATAGGTCATGTGTTCAACCACTGGGATATAAGCAGAACTCACAGGGCAGGAGGTTACAGGAAACCTCTTTTCAAGGAGTATTACTTAGCAAGTATGTAAGATTTTGCCCTTTGACTGAAGCCTTCCCAGTTAGCTTTTCACCAGAAGCACATTAAGGATGGCTGAATACAAGGACAGAGGAAGCTGGGATCCTAATTCATCTCAGAGATGTCTTAGGCTGAGGATTTAGCTCAGTGGTTTCGTCCTCTGCTGCGCAAGCGCAAGGACCCGAGTTCGATCCCCGGTACCAAAAAAAAAAAAAAAAATCTCAGAGATGTCTTACCAAGCTTTGGATCTTTTCACTTTTCACCTCTAAATAAACACATTTATTTAGGCCCCTCTGTTGCATGCACTCAAACTCATCCTCTAACTGATAAAGATAGAAGCCTATATACTACTGAGAAATTAGCCAAATTTACGTTGGAAAAATCAAAATTTTCAGAGCTTCATGGGGTATTAAAAAGCTGAGTTCAGGGGCCGGGGATTTAGCTCAGTGGTTTTGCCGCCTAATGCACAAGTGCAAGAACCTGAGTTTGATCCCGGGTACCAAAAAAAAAAAAAAAATGAGGTTATAATATTTACTTCCTAGGATTGTTGTGAGGATTAAC